GATGAGGATAGTTGCCCTGGCATTTCTTATTGTATCACTGTTTTTGCTTTGACTTGGTACCCCTTCATTCTAGCTTGCAGGTTTAGGGGTTCTGCCACTGTTTCACATCTCCATTGGTTGTGGATGGTATTGTGATGTCAGAAATTGCTTATATCCTTTGATTTAAGGAAAGTTTAAAACACTTTTAAAATACATTGTAATTGTTGTGGTAGTCTCACCATCATCTTTCCAAGGCTGGTGTGACAACTTTAGTTGTTATAATTCCTTCTGTAACCACCTCTGACTGGGACATAGCTCCCAAACCAGGGCTGGGACAAGAGGGGGCATAAGGGACAAGTGCCCTGAATGCACCATCTCTATTTAAAGGTAGGAGCACACTGTGAGCTCCAGCAGCTCCCTTCTCCTCTACTCACTGACAGGAGTGACTGCAGTGTCACTCCTGTCAGCAGGTCTTTTTTTTCATCTAGAGTAACGTGATACTTAGTACTGCCATTTCAAGCTCTAGCCCTGGTCTTACTGCTGTCATTTGTTCTAAAATCAGAATCTGACGTCTTGTGGCAGCTTCTGTGTTAACTAGTGTCACTATTAGGGGCCAGGCTTAGAGACCAGTAGCTATATATTTCCATAAACCATTCTTTGACTTCTCTTCCCAACTTTGGTAATGTGTCATGTACTTTACAAGAACTGCCCCTTTTTCTGCACTTAAATTACTTGATCTGAATGAAATATGAAGCAGCCTTTGAATTAAAATGAAGTGAGAACACTGTGAGACTGGCTCAAGTGGTAACACACCTACAGCAGTTAAAAGAAAACCTACTCAAATGAAGCAAATATTGTATATGCCGATAGCTTTGCTTCATTTTCTTTATAAAAAAGGGAATGTTGGGTAACGGGTCTTGCAGAAAATGTTGGATAGTCTTTGGTTAACAAATACCTTTCTTTTGTTAATGCCTTTATGACCTTCATTTTAAAAGCATTACTCATATCTATGAAGCAATGTATGGCCATAACAATGCTTCTCAGGAAAAAAATAAAAGATGTAACCTTCAGAAAATGCAGGTCTTATAGGAAATATATTTCTAAAAATATTTTTAAAGGCTTTGCTTATCATTACATTCAAAAGTTAAGCAACGTTATTATATACTTTACTATGGTAGATAGATAGATAGATAGATAGATAGATAGATAGATAGATAGATAGATAGATAGATATATGTTGTGTAATGAAGTCTAAAATATAATATAAACTTTTTAATAGAAAACTTAACTAATGGGTACTGGAGTTATATGTGAATCCAGCAATTCATCACATGCAGAAATATATAATATGTATGCTGTATGATGCACTTATAGTCGGGTCTAAAAAAGTATTTGTTTCAAGCAATACTGACATCAAACCCCTGCCACTTTCTACTGTATGTATACCAGAACCAAATTAATGCTTAGACATTTATAAAAGGCACAAGTTAATGCAATTATTTTAGCTGCAAACAATATAAGTAGTTTTAAGAGCATGCAGAATAAATACCTGAATCAGACTTGGTATCAGTCTCTTGAAGTCCATAAATAACAGAGCTCATAATGGGAGAGGAAGAAGCCGCATGAGATTGCCAAGGAACATGCACATAAGGGGAGAGAGCAGAGTTACTTAGAGATGAACACGTTCCTGTTCTCCTTCAGTGCCCAGTCAAAGGCTGGGAGAGGGTTCCTTACAGCCTGGAGGACATGGGTTGAAGAAGACTGAGAACATCTAGTACAAAAAAGTACTGCAGAGACAGCTCTAAATTATAGGTAAATAATAATGTTTTTTTTTATTTTATCTTTTAATGGGTTACTCAGTTTTTACTGCAGTTCTGTTTCAGCTAAGAGTCACTTACTGTCCTTCATTCTGTCACTTTATTTATACCACCTAGCCAGAAGGCCAGATTTATTTTATTGCACAAAAACTATTAACCTCCTGATACGTTTCCCTACTCACAGAGATAACAATTTTTTAATATCTTTTTATGTAATTTCTTACTTTACAGTAAAATGTTTTCCATATACAGGAATTTCCATTGCAACTCAGGGAATGAGCTTCTACGGTTGATATTTAATTCTATTATTTAAAGTAAAAAGAAAAGCAGAACTAAGGAAACATTGACACTGCATACTTGTAATTCTTTCATGCAGAGTTCTAGAAGGTGTTCCTTGGCTGAAGAAAATGTCTTCTGGAGGAAAGGGTTGGCACGCTGAGCTTCTTGCTGCTCCCTCTTATAGAAAACATTGGCAGTACATTACTCAGAAATACACCTCAAGTCCCTTTAACTCTGGCATGTTTAATGTACTCAAGATAAAGTACACTGGACTGTTGGCTAAATACATTTGCAAAGGCTTTAAAATATCTCTATTAAGTGCATCTATCAGTCTGAAGCATATAACAGAAATGTATAATATGAACCACTCTATGTCTTGGCTAAGCTTCCTTTCTTTTTTATTTTCCTTCCAGCAAATCATTTTTACTTTGTAATCCCTCTGGCTAGTCCTTCTGTTTGCTTTGAAACTGTGGTAACAGTAATGATAATGCACTTTGCAGAAATTTAAATATTATACCTTATTAAAGGTACAAGCTGTCACTAATTCTTATACCATACTAAGATTTTCGTGTCTCACAGTGGCTTTGCCATTGTTAAACACATCCAATTTTAGGCAGAGTCAGTTTTTGAGTCTGTCAGTGACTCCATGTCAGAGTGGGGATAAAAGGGAAAGTGTATGTAATCGAGACAAAGTTAGAAAAGCACGGAGATCACACAAACCTAATGAAAAATAAATGATTTCAGTGCAGATGTTTGTTTTTTCTTTACTTGCTCTGTTTATCTGATAAAAAACCCCTTTCTGCTGTATATTTCTAAATATCTTAGTCTAGACATACCAGGAATCACTGAAAGAATAAAAGTTGTGTCTTTTAAAGAGAGCAAACAATAGAAGCTTTTAGTTTGGACTTTGATTTCCAATTTCCTCTGCTTTTGCAGTACCATGTTAAAAAAGAATGATTTTTTTATGAAAAGATTTTCAGATATATTGGTTATCTGCTAAGTCTCCAAAATCAGTTTTTCAAAAAGGTGTACCTCTGTGCCTGGCTTCTATCACACAAGTGAAGACTATACATGGCTGTGTAGATACTCGTTGCACAGGCATGTTCTATTGTCCCTATCAGGAAGCCCACCTGGAGCAATGCAGTCACTGCTGGAGTTTTTCCATGTAGATGGGAATTGGCATGTAAAGGATAAGTTCACCTTTAGAACATGTTACATGTTCCACCCGTTTTTAGGGTGGGGAGAAGTTTCCCTGTACTATCTGTCAAATTTGAAAACTGCCCACATGGCCACGTCACTCATTCACGGACTTCTGTGAATGAATGAACTGCATGTCCTAGATTGTAAGCTCTAACGAGCAGGGCCCTCTGTTTCCTCTTGTACCAAATTATATTGTAACTGTAATGTCTACCTTCATTTTGCAAAGCACTGTGCAAACTGTTGGAGATATATAAATCCTGTATAATAATAATAATAATGTCCCAACAGCCTTAGCGGCTATCGGCTTGTAGTTTTCAATGAACTACCACGGAGCTGTGGAGCACCCTGAAATGCAAGGATAGTGGAAGCACCCCCCTCCCAAATGACCCAGTAGACACTCCAAGGTATTTGCTAAGAGGCATGGTGAGTATTTTGCAGATCTCATTTGTTGCTGCAAGGTTTTGGAAAATGAAGAAAACAAAAATGTATTTTTTCTTTTCTTTTATTTGTTTTCAAAACCCTGTGACAAAAATGATATCTGAAAAATGCTATCCAGGCTATCAAATTCCTTGGGGTGTCTACTTTCCAAAAAGAGGTAATTTGGCGGGGTGTTTGTACTATCCTGGCATTTTAGGGCCTCCAAAACTGTGATAGGTAATGAGAAAGTGAAAGCCTGAAGGTGGTCATTAGATTTTGGGGGCCTGTATGTGGCTAGACTGCCACAAAGTATCTCATATGTAGTATCCCCATACTCGGGAGAAATAGCAGAATGTGTTTTGAGGTGTTGTTCCACATATACCCATGGCATGCATGAGCAATATATCATTTAACTGATAACGTTGCGTAAAAAAAAAAAAAACATTTCATTTTACAAAAATTTGTAAAATATTCTATGGACTCAACATGCCTCTCAGCAAATTCCTTGGGGTGTATACTTTCCAAAAAAGTAATTTGGGGGGTATTTGTACTGCCCTGGCATTTTTGCACCTCAAGAAATGTGATAGGCGGTCAGAAAGTTAAAGCTGTATAAATTCCAATAAATACAGTATACTATAGTTTGTAGATCCTATAACTTTCACACAACCCAATTAAAGCGGAGCTCCACCCAAAAGGGGAAGTTCAGCTTTAAGGACTGCTCCCCCGCTCCCCATTAAGGATTGGCATGTTTGGGGAGCGGGTACCCGAATTTTACAGGTACCCGTTCCCACTTCCGGTCCGATCGCCTAGGGGATCGGAAGCGGAAGGTGTCCTCCCTCCCTGTAGTCTTTTGGGACATGTGACAGGTCCCAGAAGACTACAGGACCATTCACGAAGCGCTACTCGCTTATGTGCAGTGGGTACCCAGCTGTGAAGCCGAAAGCTATCACAGCCGGGTGCCCACACTGAAGATGCTGGCCTCCTGGAATACATGACGGCCAGTGAACGAGCTGCAGGGGACACACCACGGGACAGGTAAGTGGCTGTTTTTTAAAAGTCAGCAGCTACAGTTTTTGTAGCTGCTGACTTTTATTTTTTGATAGGTTGAGTGGAACTCCACTTTAATATACCATATTTGTTCTTCATAAGACATACCTGACCATAAGACGCACGTAGATTTTAGAGGAGGAAAACAAGAAAAACAAGAAAAAAAAAATTCTGTACCAATGGACTGCAGACATAGTACAGGAAATGACCAGAGATTGCAGACATAGTACAGGAGATGACCAGAGACTGTGGACATAGTAGAGGAGATGGCCAGAGACTGCAGACATACTGCAGATGATCAGAGACTGTAGACATAGTACAGGAGATGAACAGAGAATGCGGACATAGTACGGGAGATGACCAGAGACTGCGGACATAGTACAGGAGATGACCAGAGACTGCAGATATATTACAGGAGATGACCAGAGACTGCGGACATAGTACGGGAGATGACCAGACTGCAGACATAGTACAGGAGATGACCAGAGACTGTTGACATATTACAAGGGATCACCAGAGACTGTGGACATACTACAGGAGATGACCAGAGACTGTGGACACAGTACAGGAGATGACCAGAGACTGTAGACATAGTACAGGAGATGACCAGAAACTGTGGACATAGTACAGGAGATGACCAGATACTGAGGAGACAGTACAGAAGATGTCCAGAGACTGCAGACATGAGTACAGAGATGACCAGAGACTGCTGACATAGTACAGGAGATGACCAGAGAGTGCAGACCTTTGGAGAGGGGGAGGCAGGTACCCAAATTTGACAGGTACCTGCTCCCACGTCCGCGGAGTTGTCATCCTCCTCCCTCCCCGTAGTCTTGTGGGACACGTGACAGGTCCCACAAGACTATGGGGCCATTCACAAAGCACAGCGCTTCTCGCACATGCGCAGTGGGCACCCAGCTGTGAAGCTGCAAGCTGTCACAGCCGGGTGCCCAAACTGAAGATGCCGGCGCCAGGGAGAGAAGACAGCTAATGGAAGCAGGACACCGCTGGACCGAGGAACAGGTAGGACGGAGGAGCAGGTTCTTCTGCACAGTAGAGCCGATCAACTGACCCAGTATTCTAACACAGCGACGGGAATACCAGGTCGGCCGCTCCATATTCGCTCCATAAGATGAACAGACATTTTCCCCCATTTTTTTGGGGGAAAAAAGTTTGTCTTATGGAGCAAAAAATTCAGTACATATATTGGGATTTTTTTTTTTACCAAAGACATGTAGCAGAACACATTTTGGTGATAAATTTATAACTAACTTTGAGTTCACTATATATATTTTTTGTAACCGAAAGTAAACAATATATATTTTTTTTCCAAATTTTCGGTCTTTTTTTTGTTTATATCACAAAAAATTTAAAATCCATAGGTGAATTGGTGATCAAATACCACCAAAAGAAAGCACTATTTGTTTGAAAAAAGGACATGAATTTTGTTTGGGTACAGCACTGCATGACGACACAATTACCAGTTGAAATAGCGCAGTGCTGAATAGCAAAAAACGGTGAGGTCATTAAGGGGAGTAAATTATCCGGAGGTCAAGTGGTATATGGATTTTTGGATGTACAAATATTTGTATACAGTTGAATCACCTAAGAAAATGTACCCTAGCACTGAAATCCAAGTACCCACGCACATTTTGTTAAAGTAGATGTAACGCCAACTATTAAAATCTCATATAAGCTTAAAGTAATTGTAAAGGCTCAAAGTATTTTACCTTTATGCATTCTTAGCCTCCTAGAGATTGGCTGGGGCTACATAAATTTTAAGCTGCTAATTAATATGCTCCCACCTCTATTACCCAGAGCTCCTTAATCAAACCAGCTCCACTGGCTACAGTGAGCTAAACTAAATTTACCTACACTAACTTGAGCTTGGGTGGCAAGGGTTCAGGAAATAGGGAGGGTATCATAGGGCATGGGTGTTTTGTTAAAAGAGCAAATGTCAGGGGTGATGAGTCAGTTAGCACCCTTGAGTCACCCTTGAGAACTTTTGGAGAATTGCTTTGTCAGACATTCCATAATGCATTGTCAAAACCATCATTGGAAGAGGAGGAGTATGATTGCCATGGAGACACTGAAAATGACATTAGGAAGTCTTCCTGTAGTGCATTTCATGCCTTCCAAACCCCATGAGTGATACTGTACATGGCTGGGGGGAGGTAGCTGAGGATAATGTCATCCTCATCAACCATGAGAACTAATTTGCTGTACATGGGCTCCTTCATGCTCCATAGCCTGTTAAAGGACCCTGGGATTTGTGATTTTAAGGAGAGGGACCATTATGGGCTGGCAAACCTCCTTGATCCATGTTAAAAAAGGAAAGATTCTTACTGAGGGAGCAGAGGATGAAACATCTGAAAGATGCACTACAGAGTAACCTGTGTCACTCATTTCCAGAAGCCGCAGGCAAGGTGTCTCAGAGCCTGTTGGCGAAAGGAGTAGCAGTGGTAGGGATGGTTTCCTGAGTGATGCCATCAAAAAAATTTCAGTCCTCAGCACCAATGCCAGCACCTATTGGCAGTGGCTACATCATATGGTGGCCAATTATTTGGGTGGATATCGGATAGAGAAACCCTGTGAATGGATGACTCCCTTGACAACTTGGTCACAAGGATGGAGCCCTGGCCAGAGTATGCCCAGTATACAAATGAGACTGCAGGCAGCATGCTCTCTGAACTCGCATTCAGTGTAGTGGGGGTCTTTGTGACAGACAAAAGAGTGCATCTGCCCATGGACACAGCTGACTCATTTACAATCATCAAAAAGAACCAGTCTTGAAGCAGCAGCCACCAAATTCCTGCTGCAGATGTGCCTGATTAAATATTTTGATGAGCCATCCTCTGATTTTTTTTTTTTTGCTTCATCTAAAGCCACTTGTTTCACTGTTGCAGGCCAAAAAAAATATCCCACATGTTGCCACCATTTTCATGTCCAGTCTCTATAAGCACACCCAGCCACCAGGTGCACTAAATGGCCCTGTTAACATCTCCTGCCACTGTTGTAGCAGTCTAAAAGTGGGGCAACAGTAACAGTTTTTTTGGAGCTGTCTCATATCTGCAAGTGCTGTTATTTTTGTTTAAAAGAGTCCATCCTAGATCACGTATTCATTTTTCAGTGGACGTACGGTGTTTGGGCACCATGCAAATTTAAAATGGATTTTTTTGGTAACAGTTGACATTTGTAAATGTTTATTAAAGTAGGGTCCATCCTCTTCTCTGCAGGAATTTTTCTGTGGTCTTACAGCTTTGGCACCATGAACATCCAAAACCCAATTTTTTGCAGCTGCTTCACAGTTGTAGATATGGTAAATGTTTGTTAACACAGGGTCTATCCTTTGCTCTGCAGAATTTTTCTGTTGGGCTTACAGTGTTTGGCCGCCACCACCAACACCCATTACCTAATATTTTTGCCACCGTATGCCGGTAACACAAAACATACAGGGTCGATCCTCTCTTCTGCAAGAATTTTCATGTTGGGATGGGATGCTTTATCTCTATGCAAATTAGGCAAAACCTATTTCTTTTTAAATGTGGACTATATTTTTGGTAAAATGCAGTACAACATCAATAGAAATGCACAACAGACTGTTTCCTCATGCTGCTCCTCAGCTATGACATTTGGAATGCACACTCTTTAAAGTAGGAAGGCCTAACAGTCATACTTTACATGAAATCAGTCCAGTCTCACATCTCTTAGTTATGACCTATGAAATGTGCTTTGAAGTACATACAAATTCCTCCAAGCATTTTTCTCCTTTGTCCTAGGAAGGATAAACTTTAATTTTGGGGTTTACAGATTGAGCGTGCCTGTTTTCTCTCTCTTGAATTGTCTCTGATGAACACTATTTGTGTTCTCTGCAGAAAATTGGTATAATTCAAAATTACTCAAAAATATTAATATTATTTTGCGTTTATGAAAGGTCTTCACCACAGAGAAAAGCCAGTCATGTAATTAACAGTCCTCCAGACATTCATCAATGGCAATAGCAAAACACCAGTGATTTCAAGGATCAGCATGTCAGATCAGGCTGTATCCGTACTCATGGAGGAGAACAGAGGCTACACATAGTGTAAAACCTCCAAACAATTTATTTAAAACAATAGACAGGTACTTACGGAGGTAAAAGAAAATACATGTACTGATGCCTCGCTGCTGGCCACACGGTGAGTGTGCTGATGTCACAAGTTAAGCCCCGTCCAACATGTTTCATTGTCAAACAGCGTCATCGTGAACAGGAGCAAACACCAGTGATATCTAAAGCAGTTTATGTAGCCTTCCACACTACTGCCACTGCACATCCATGAAAAGAAGACAGCTAATTTACAGTTCCCTGGTGTAAAATGCCTGTGCAACCTATACCTCTAAAATTGCAAACTGTCCACATTGGTTTGTTAGTTGTGTTGCTTAGCTGTTTGCTTTTTCCATACTGAGTTGGATGGTTTATTTCCAAAACTAAATGCTTGCTCAGTTGCTCAGAAATTGTAGTTTGTTTAAACAGGCTTTTCAACTGTGGTGCAAACCTGTATGTATTTCCATTGTCAGTATTCAAAGAAGACTATTTTGTTCAGGAATTAAATGCCTGCTCAGTTTCTCGGAAATTGCAGCTTGTTTCAAAATGCGTTCTTGTTGTGGTGCAAACCTGTATGCTATTTGCATCCTTAGTGCTCAAAAATATACACTATTTTCTTTCCTATGCTAAATGCCTGTTCAAGGTCTCAGAAATTGTGGCCTGTCCAAACAGACTTTCTAGCTGTGGTGCAAACCTGTATGCCATTTCCATTGTCACTGAAAAAAAACAAACTTTTTTATAAGTACTAAATGTCTGGTCCATCACTCTTAAATTACAGGCTGTCCATACAGGCTTAATAGCTGTGCTGCAAAAATGTCGCAATTTTCATGTTTAGCTTTCCAAAGAAAAGACACATTTTAGATTTCAAAGTGCAATCTGATTTCTCTCTTCCAAAAATTGTGGCCTATATTAGAAAGCCTTCAATACGGTTCCATTTTTAAACTTCAAACTTAGAAAATAGCTCTCTGTTCTTTTTTACATACTGTATAATCTGCTTGCTCACTCCCTCTGGAATAGTGGAATAGAAAAAAAGCTTCAAGCAGTTGGCATCCAGTGTTAACAATTGTTTAGGTATACAGTCTGTGAAAAAAGACAATATGATTTGTTTATCCCAGACCAGATCTGCTGGATCTCTCTCTGACAAAGAATCTTAGCAATAGGGAGTACATACTGTCCAATTGCTAATCAGTTCAGTTTTTCTGGCTTGTTGCTCTAAAAAAGCACACTCTATTATATACAGTATTTTAGGAGGATCAAACCTACATAGTCTCTCTGTCTTGCATTGCAGCCTTTTAATAAAACACTTACATAGCGTGCTGCATGTCAGTATTTCTGGATTCTGGCTGTGACATAATACGCTGAAATATCTATATTATCTAATATCTATATCTAAATAAAATTTAAAATGCATCATCTCTTCCCTCTACACTGTACCCATATGACATTTTTATCATTTGTTTCACACAAATAGAAATTTATTTTGGTGGTATTTATTTACCACTGTCTTTTTTATTTTATGCGCTATAAACAAAAAAAGTTTGAAAAAAAATTTTTTTCTTAGTTTCTATTATATCATTTCTAATAATAATCTTTCTACACAAATTTAGGCCAAAATGTATTCTGCTACATGTCTTTGGTGAAAATAACCCAAATTTTGTGTTTATTATTTAGTTGGTAGGAAAGTTATAGAGTTCACAAACTATGGTATGATTAAAAATTGATCAATCCTGATGTACTGATGGCTGATCTCATTTCTTGAGGCCCAAAAACGCTAGGACAGTACAGATACCCCCAAAATGACCGCTTTTCAGAAAGTAGACAGTCTGAGGTATTTCTGTAACACAGAACCCCAGCGCACAAAGAGACTCTTTCAGTATAGAAAATGTGTGCTTT